CCTACCGCCCGTGCCTCGTCTCATGTGCCCTCGACGTCCCCCGCTGCCGGTGCGACCGAGTCTTCGGCACGTGCCGTCGTGCCCGCGGCCGAGCCAGTGACCAGGACGTCAAACGGCGGCGGGGAGCAACTTCCCATTCTCGGAAACACTTCCAATGCTTCTCCCCGCACCCCTCGCACGCCATCCAGCCCTCGCTCCTTTGCTCAAGTTGCTGCGGCAATTCCTGCCGCCGCCACTGCCGCATCTTTGGCCCCTGTGACCGAGGATTTGTCAGCATCGGTGCCCTCTGAGCCAAATGGCAGCGGGGAGCAGCAACCCTCGCCCAAGTCCACAGGGCAGACACATCATTCGATTCCCAACACACCATCGGACTTTTTGACCATGTCTTCGGATGAAAGCGACTCCCCTCCTTGCTCCACCGCACTCCGCGCGCCCACCCCTATCGCCCCTCCCGCGCATGATGGTGACGGTGACACAAACGGCAGTGCCACGCCAGAGCCATTGGTGCAATCACCTACACCCGCTCAAATGGTGCTGCCATATCCATCGGGTACACAACAAACCCATTCCAATCCCTCTCCGCCCTCTGCTTCACCCCCTGCCACTACCATTTTGCCCGCTGCCATTTCACATCCTGTCGAACACAGTGAGCATGCAAACTCAGCCCCACTTGGCGAAGTCAGTGAAAGTGAAACACACAATACAGCGGGCGAACACAGTGAGAGTGAGCAAGATGTTCTTCTCAGCGATCCCGCTCCGCCCATCGCTGCCAACGTGCTGGATGCCCAGCGCAAGGTCCTGCTGAAGACATCTGGCCACAGGCAACTCCTCGCCTGCCCATTTGGGCTTTGCAAATGCAAGGGGCCCCGCCTTGACCGCAAAGCTTGGGTCAATCATGTACTACGCGAGCACCCCTACGACGAGCAAGCCACTGATCTGGTCAAGCAGGTGATGGAGGCCAAATTGGTCGCCCAGTGCAACAAGTGTCACCTCTTCTTCGAAGCTGCTGGTATCAGTCAACACCGCTCCCGATGTGGTGCCAATCTGAAGCGAGCGACCGAGGCGTTGTTTCATGCGGCTGGACACGACCTGCTTGAGATTATGCGTGGCGCTTGGCCCCAACAGTGTGTAGGGTCTCGCATCAGTGTCTGCGAGCTGCTCAAGCTCGCCCGGCATCCACTGATGCAGCGCAGCCGCTACCCATCCAACGCCACC